TATACACAACATCATATAGATTATATTTGAATAGGGAAAAAATACAAATTGATTCGAAAGATCTATTAGCATGAATTAAAATTAATTTAAATTGAATAATTACTCGTTAGGAACTCGTGTTCTATCCGTGTCATCGGTCAAATTAGAAGCTATTGTAGTTTCCTGATATTCCGCAACCTCAATCATACTGCCGCTTGTACTAGTACTTGCGCCAAACATATAAGTATCTTCGTAAATAACTTCGTCTGGATCGAAGATTTTATGTCTATATAAGGAGTAACAATAAAAGTAAGAAATACGATAATGATATCAATTGTGCACAAAACTCCGTAAAAGAATTCCTATATTATTTCTCATAGTTGTTCAAAATATACTTATTGTATACTTACTTGTCCCTGTGTAAATCAAGATGCGTCGTTAAATTATCGATTCTACAACCTTTCAATATTTTACTACATATATTGCACTGTGCATCGCCAGATGATGTTTGAGTAAAATAATCCCATGCCCAATGAATGTTACGTTCTGTCTTCTGTTCTTCTGTTAATACTTGCGGATGGTACATGGTCAAGTGCTCGAGTAATAAAGAATAGATGCTTCTATAACTTATTCTTGACAAACAATATTTGCAATTTGTGAAATATTCCACTTTTGATGGTATGAAATGTTTACGCAGATATTGACGAACTCGGACATTGAATACTCGGATCTTGTTGTCTTTTAATTGCTGGTCCGCCATTATAATTGCGCGTTTTGTATTACGGAATTTTAAAGCATTTAATCGGACTTAATCACTGAAGGTATAGAAACGATATGAAGAAGCATAAACTCCAGAAGGTCAAAAACAGAAGTATCATTCTTTCGCGGAATATAAATATTGGTATGTTTAGTTTGAATATGTCTCTTCAGTGCTGTGTTTTTGTCTCGTTTCGGATTCTACGAAATCTTAGCAGGACGAGGGATGTGGAATGTCAGGCTCCGTTTTGTGTTAATATTTCTGTTACACGCACGTAAGGTGAGAGGGGATATGAAAATCAGGACCAAGCGATATTTCTTTGGTGAGAAATCGCCTCTGTGCGACAGGAATGCTCGCGGAAATATAAGAAGAAATGAAAATAAATATTGGGCGAGTTCAAAACAGCAAAGCGGCTAGTCATGCTTACCGAACGATTGTATATGATTGTTTAAATCTATAAGTAACAATCAATTATGTTCATTTGTCGGCGAGCAGGCTAGCCGGTTTGTCAACTTGAACGCCCTCAATGATTGCGTTCAGCAGAACGTTTATTTTGCACTTCCAAGTTTTCTTATCGTTGATTGGATTATACTTTTAGATCTAAAAGAATAATCCTATCTCAGTAAACAATACATAAAACGATTGCAAAACTGTTCTGCTGTTGTGTTCTGCTGAACGATAGCAATCGATGAGATACTAGGTTTGTTCACGTCGCATGCTCCAACATGTTCCAACATACTGTTGCTATAATTTTTAGTCGCTCTAATGAGTGCATTAGAGTGAGTTGAATCTATGATAGGAGCATATTGAAGCATGAAGTGTGTATTTCAGCACACACTATTCTGAATAGTATTCAGAACCAAAGTATTCGGGAGCTAAAGTGGATGGGTATACGTGATCGGAGTATCGATAGCGAGCGCAGACTTACGGCGAGAACCGCGCGCGAATTGCCTCTGCCGCAATAAACGCGCCAATATATATGCCCGGGGCCGAAACGTGGCGCTGATACCAGCCCAGTCTTTATTTAATTAATGTAATCGATACGACTGTGTAAATGCGAACGCTTGTTTCTCTCGGAAAAGTGATCGTTTGCCCTCCGGCCGAGGATCTGCGCGAGTTCGGACGATGTACGCGTCTTATTCCTCGACGGCCGTACGCATTTAATGCGTGTATGCGCTGCTATCACATCGTACGATTGCAAAGTGCGTTCCATGGACTTCTGAAAGAGAAAAGGTTCAACAATTTACGTGCGCTTCCATGCAATTCCCTCATACGTATAGCATTGTTAAACGCGAATTATTCTGATAATACGAAATGATTTTCGAGAGAATGGAAAATGCTTACAATAACACTGGGGGAAAAGTTTTTGGTATTTATGACTGTAAAGTGTAATTGCATAGAAAAATATTATGGTTGCGAAACTCCCCAGTTAACACTAACTAAAAGTAACATAACATTAATAATTGTTGTTGTAATTTCGTACTCAACAATGTAAGTGTTAGATATTTAACGTCATGAGTTATATTAGTTACATTATTGAGTGTGAAATTATAACAATGATGTTATATTACTTTTGGTTTTGTCGACTAAAAGTTTATTAAATTATGTAAATTTTACAGGTACCTTTTTTTTTACAGTTGAAAATAATTCCTTTTATATATGTAGACCTATAAATATAATTGTTATTACTAACACATTATTATAGAAATAATTATAAAAATAGAGAGCTCCTAATCATATAATTGTTTTATAATGCAATTAAAGTCACAAATATACCAAAAAGCCTTTTCTTTTAGCGTAACATAACAGAATTCACGGTTAGTGCCTCCGTGTGGCGATTATTTCGGCGCATATCGAAATTCGTCTTGAATTATTTATTATAATTATCCTCACGTTGACGTGTTGTCGCCGCTAGCAAATAGTAGTTCTCACAGCGGAACGTTTAATAGTCGGAGAAGTTTCGGCACTTGAATTATTTGCTATACGCAGCGCGGGCGCAATTACGTCGCG